TAAACTCTTAACTTTGATTTTGTACAAAACAATGTACTCTGTGCGATTTTACTTTTTTATTTTTTATTTTTTAAACCACAAGAAAAAATAAATAATTCTAATATGCTAATTTGGTCCTAAAGAAACATTTCTTATTATCAATCTTTAAAAAAAAAAAAAAAAAGTTGTGCTGCTTAATATTTTTGTGGAAACCATGATACAATATTTTTTCAGGATTCTTTGATGAATAGAAAGTTTGTACTTTTAAGTCTTTTAATTTACTGTCACTTTTGGTCAGTCCTTTTGTCCTTGCTAAAATAAATGAATTAATTTATTAAAAATATATATATATATTGCTGCCACCAAACTTTGGAACTGTAGTGTTTATTTGTAATAATATTAATAATATAATAATTTTATTATAATTAAAAAACGCTACTCAGATTCCATTAACTATTCTTTTGTAATTAATCATCTTCTGTAGTAGATTCAGTTTTAATAGATGTACTACACATACAATTACAATTGACATGACATTTTGTTACCTAATTTGTCACACAGTATCATTGGTAACGATAGTGAAGAAGAAATTAATTATAGATTTGCAATAAAACACATTTTCTATCATATTTTTCTGCATCCCATTCGCCACTGTTGCTTAGTCTCTAATCTCCCTCGAGTGTCTAGGGTTAAATATCTTGCCATGGACAGTCGTGGCCAAAAGTTTTGACAGTGACATAAATTTTGTGTTTTGCAAAGTTTGCAGCTTCAGTATTTGTAGATTATTTTTTCCACATGTTTCTATGGTAAACTGAAAAAGAATGATAAGCATATAAGTTTTAAAGGCTTTTATTGGCAAAAAATATAATGAGTCTATATTTACAGTGTTGAGCCTTGTTCTTCATAACCTCTGCAGTTCGCTCTGGCATGCTGGATATTAGCTTCTGGGCCAAATCCTGACTGATGGCGATTCATTCTTGCCTTATTAGTTCTCGGAGTTGATCACAATTTGTGAGCTTCTGCTTGTCCACTTGCCTTTTGAGGACTGACCACAGGTTCTCTATGGGATTGAGATCCGGGGAGTTGCCTGGCCACGGATCCAAAATTTCAATTTAATTATGTTCGAGCCCCTTCTTCATCACTCTTGCTTTGTGCCATGGTGCTCCATCATGCTGGAAAATGCACGGATCATCACCAAATTCCGCATGGATTGTTTGAAGAAGTCGCTCTTGCGGGACGTTTTGATTCCATTCTTTGTTCATGGCAGTGTTTTTGGGCAGAATTATGAGAGAGCCCACTCCCTTGGTTGAAAAGCAACTCCACACATGGATGGTCTCAGGATGCTTCACTGTAGGCACAACACAGGACTCATGGTAGCGTTCACCTTTTCTTCTCTGAACAATCGATTTTCCAGATGTCCCAAAAAGTCGGAAGGGAGCTTCATCTGAGAAAATAACTTTGCACCAGTCTTCTGCTGTCCAATCCTTGTATTTCCTGCAGAATTTCAGTCTGTCCTTGATGTTTTTCTTGGAGAGAAGGGGCTTCTTTGCTGCCCTTTGATGCTCTCACACCAAACTGCTGCCATTCCTGAGCAAGCTCTGCACTGCTGGTGACACGATTCTGTAGCTGACTCCTCAGGAGGAGACGGTCCTGGCACTTGCTGGACACTCTGGGACGTCCTGAAGACTTCTTCACTGCAGTTGAACTTCTCTCCTTGAAATTCTTGATGTTCCGATAAATAGTTCTTTCAGGTGCAATATTCTTTGTAGCAATTTCCTTGCATGTGAGGCCATTTTGATGCAAAGCGATGATGGCTGCACGTGTTTCTTTGGAGGTAACCATTGCTAACAAGAACACAATGATTGTAAACGCTTCTTCTCTCCTTTTATAGCAATCAGTCTGCCCTTACAATCTAATTATGATGGTTATTTCACCTGACTAGTACTCATTCACACGTGCTGCTGATATGATTAGTCAATTAATGTTAGCTGGTCATTTTGTGTCAGGATCAAAAAACTGTGAAATTAGGTTTTTTTGTGAAAAGTTATTTTTTTTGGCCAATGAAGCTTTTAGCAATTATTTAAAATGCATCTGATCACTCTACACAATAACCTAGAAACAATGTGAATGAACACCACAACAGCTTAAGCAGCAAACTTTGCAAAACACAAAATTTATGTCACTGCCAAAACTTTTGGCCATGACTGTATACTATACCACGCATCCATTCTCTAATGTGGAATAACAGACAGAACTCCAGGATGGTTATAAAATGGCACGACAGCTAAAAGACTACCTTTGGTCTTTGAAATCTGCTTACAGAGATATTGTTGCTTGATAAATACATTATTAACGATTGATGCATTTACAGCCAGTGCTGTGTCTGTCATACACTGCGCAAGCTTGTAATTTAATATTGCATTCTGAGTACCAGCGAGGATGCGGAGATTAGTTATCAGCCTTTTATTTGATGTTGATGGATGTTCCTTTTAACAATGTGCATTTTTTGTCCTTTTCTTTAATTGCATTAAGCATCAGTAGGCGAGGCTTTAATCTCTTTAGACAAATTCCTTTTTTTTATTTTTATAAATAAACCCCATCCTGCTGGATCTTTGGTGGGTGAAGCCAAGTTGCTCGCCTCTTTGAGAAAAGGAATCAAAATGCTGTTTAGCATAATTGTGTGAGAGCAAGGCAGACAAACCACTGAGTACGCAACCGTTCATCATAGCCTACAGCAAACACACACACAAGGACGTATTCAGCCCACCTGCGTTCCCATTATATTTAAATAGGTGTTTGTAAGCACGTACTAGTTTTCCGCCCAAACCTTTTGAGTGGTTTTAGATGCCACAGTTATCATTTTTTTTTATTTACGATTCAAAAAACTGTAATCGTAAAATGTGAATGATCAAGCATTATATTTTAGGCCCTACAGAGAGGCACTAAACCAGCCACCTCTGCACTCTCGTACACACACCTGTGGGCATTTAGCATAAATAGACGCGATGCGAATGCAGAATGCGATAAGTGTTATTTTACTGCACTGCAGACTTAAAAGCATGCAAATATGCAGTGAACCTCACACATTAACCCATCCAACAAGGTCTTTTAACATCATTAGAGGTAATTACCATCTAAAACCTGCCTGAATCCCCTAGCGCATCAGCCACAGGAACTGTTATTATAGTTCACATGTGCATTCGGTGCCGCGGAGAACCCGATTACACTCGCACATAACACGGCAGGTGTGAACAACAGGAAGAGTAAAAGATGGATGGCAATTGACAGATAAGCTACAGAGTGAGTCTTGCTTATGCTTGGTTTCTCACTCTCTAAAGACAAAGTATGAGACCGAGACAGAAAGGGAATAGCTGGATAAAGATGTTTCATCATGAAAGACCTTGTCTCGGAGAGGGGATTCAAATGCTTGCCATATCCATCCATCACATCTCTTTTCTGCATCCCACAGATCAGTGGCTCTCAACCGGGGACCTAAAAATGAGTCACAGGTCTGTTCTGGTCATGGACAGCTAACCATAAAACTGTGCCTAGATTCATGTGGCAGTTGGTAGAAGTAACCAGAGTAGAAGATGCCAGCATGCAAATTATTTTTAAACTTTATTTTTAATAATTTTTAAAACTATTAAAAATAATTTTCAGTTATTAGAAATAAACGTAAAATAAAATTGAAATATTATATGAAAAACCTAAAATATCTGACATAAGTTCAAGTTGAACTGCTAAAATGATTAGACATGACATAAAAATACATTAAATCTAAATAGAAATATATTAAAAAAGAACAAAACAAAACAAGCACATAACAAAATTACTAAAATTGTAAACTGAAGTATACAAATTGAAAGCTAATTCAAACTATAAATAAACACAATAATAGTATAGAGATAATTGTAAAAAAAAAAAAAAAACTGTGATGAACATGGATTGTGCTGATCACGTTTTATTTTGTACTGTGAATTATTGCCTGCAGAGAAATTGAAACCATGAAAAGAGACATGCAGGATATAAAATGTCTTTAAATAATATCTTAAATGTCTAACAAATTTCAATGTTTTTTTTTACTGTATTGATTATATATAGTAGGTGTTTAATATACAGTATAATATTTAATTTATAATAGTATAATATTATAATATTATAGTATAATATATTTAATATTAATTGAAATATTTTAAATATAATTGTTTATTAACATTACCATTGAATATATGCTAATTAAAATTGTATTTAACATTACCATAAACTATTTTTGTTTACAATGAATTATTTTTAAAATCAAAACTAGTTCATCCTAGATACCACTCCTCATGTCTTTTCCTCGCTCCACTGTATTTTCTATCTCTCTCTCATCCTTCTATCCTGCTCTGTGTTTTATCTTGCTTAACACGCCTGTCTGTCGTTGTGCTCCATTTCTTTTCATGTTTTTTTATTTTCTTGTACCTTTTTCTTTACCTCTAAACTGTCTTTTTTTCTGTCCGTATTGTCAGCTCAGAACATGGTCAGAGTTCAACAATACACAATCCCACACAGCTTCCCATTATCAGAGTCTGTTATCACACTTATGACATGCCATTGTAATAATTTCCATATAGATTAGTGAGTAATCATTCTCGATTCCGTTCTTCTGTCAAGGCTCTTAACCTGCTCATTTCTCCTCATGGCAAACTAGATTACACTGAATTCAAATTCTTACTTAGCATAACGATTACAATGGTGTACAGTAGTAATGAGGCAATATACTGTAAAGGTCGAGAAGTGTGAGACCACATTATGAATCTGAGATTCGCAATTTAGTTTAATCTTGGAAATAGAAAGTTTTATGGTTGAATAAGTTGATTGGTATTGGATCGGAGACTGTGAATATGTGTTGTCACTGTACAATTCATTTTCATGGATAGGATGTGAAAGATTCTGCTTTGCATAGTTAAGCACTTTTGTTGCAGTCTTACTCGCTGCTCCTTTTAAATAGTATTGATTCTTTGATTTTTGTTTCTATGTAGGCTGATCCTAGAGAGCTTATTCGTCTTGTGACCAAGCATGTGACAGACCACGCTGGATGTGATTGGGGGGATGAGGAACTGCAGGTCCTGATTGGTCAGTTAAGACTATACAGTGAGAGACTGACAGACTTTACTCAAGCTCAGGTGCTACAGGGACTCGGCCGTGGAGTTGATGTCCAGAGATTTAGCAGCGACAACCAGTACAAGAAAGAAACTATTCTGGGTCTGGCTGAGTAAGTACTGTGTACCACACACACACACAAAAAAACATACTGTATACTTTTACAAAAACATATACTTTTTAAATTAAGATAGCTACTCGTCTTTGATTTTTTTTAAATATTTTTCACATTTTAGAATAATGGTAATGTCATCTCTAATGTGACATAAATGGAAAGTATGAAGTGACCGATTCTGTAGATTCAGACAGATCTGAATTTATAGGAATATGTTACGCCTGGCCTTTGAGGGTCTGCCAATTTGGCCTTGATTAGAAAGATTGAATTTACCTAATTAAAAATTGAAGCTTGAGTGTTCTAAAAAAGTTTCATGAAAAATGTTATTGAAATGATCTATCTATCTATCTATCTGTCTGTCTGTGTCTGTCTGTCTATGCATATCTATCTGTTTATCTATCTGTCTGTCTTGTCATTCTATATATCTTCCGTTCTATCATTTCATCTGTTCTTTCTCTCTATGTAGGACATTGAATGAGAGTGTGTATGGGATCTCTCGTTCTCTGGCTCAGCGGTACAGCATCCCTCTCTGGGAAGTGCACATGACGCACCTTGAGTTTCTGTTTACTGATAGCGGGTAAGACACTCATACTTTCACACACACAGCAGACATTAGCAGCACTCACACTCAAGATTTACTGCACACTTTTTCAGAGGATTCACCCTGCAAAACCTGAGTTAGAAGCAATGTCTTCCACAAGTAACCGTTTTTATTTCCTCGACCTGAGGGGCCCCAGCAGGTCAGAACCTTGCGACCCCGGCGCTCTAGAAGCGCAAACAGAAGATTGCATGGATCGATTGCAGAGACTGGCTTCCAGGCGATCGGTTTGTGCGATTTGCCAGACCTGTAGTTTAGTAGCAAAGGCTAGAAAGCGCTTTGTTTTTTTTTAAACAATTTTGTAGTCATTTTTATGAGGCTTTGAAAATCCACACACAAACAACGTGCCACCTCTCCTGAGCTTGCTGCACGGTAAATTTGCAGCTGAATCATTGTTTGAAGTCTGGTTTAATCAACTCCCTCTCCATCTCTCACCGGGTTTAATCACCTTGAATATTTCTCTCTCTCCCTCCCTCTACATAAACATGCACTCATTTGACTTCACTTGTTTAGTACAGATTGCTTGGGTGAAACTGATTTACTATGAATGTGATCTTTTTTCTTTTTCTCCATTTTTTTTTTTCACCTGCGAGAGTCCTTGCATGCTCATTAGCATCCCCAAGGCTTCTGTTTTATTTTGCTGGGGGTTTTTTTTTTTTTGGTAGCTCTGTGTAGAACATGAAATCTCTAAAATTCCCCCACATCAAAGATGTTATCAAAAGAGCACCAGAGGGAGTTTGAGCAACTTTGGCAATTAATCAAGTGTTATTGTATTGCAGTTTCTGTTTGTTAATTTGTCAGGAAATAGGCTTTTCTGACTGATGAGGACTTGTAAACACATATTTTGCATCGTTTATGTTATTTACTCAGTTTATGTGATTTGCATATGATGTGGATATATAATGTAATTTCAAAGGCATTGATAAAGGGCCAGTCCTTTGAATCCGTGTATCATTCGATCATTCGTTTTTTGATTTAATATTGAAAGTAGAAAAATAAGAAAACGGCTCCTTTTTCGTTTTTTTTTTTTTTTTCGTTTTTCTCCAAAAAACTAGAAAGGAGAATTCAGCTTAAATTAATTAATTTGTTTCAAAATAAATATTTTAAACACTAAGACAAAAAGGAAAAAATAATAAATTGACTTGGGCTGACCTATGTTCACGCAAGAACTGTCATTCTGACTGACAACCGGAGAACAACAGATATTAAATAGCCTACTGTTAGTTATATAATGTAGTCTTGTGTTTTATTTACGTTCAAAATAAATACAAAATGTCATGCCTTTGAAAAATAAAGGGAACAACAGAAATGCGCTGCTTTAGCGCGTCTTGTTCTCCTTGAGCATCTTTCTGGCGCGTGCCACAAACATGAACCACAGGGAATACTCGTATTTTAAAAGGCTTAATTTTGATTATTTTAGATTAAATGCATCATATAAGTCACTTTGGAATAAATCACAGTAGGCCTATGTATCATGATAAAAAAGAAACGACTTTACAGTCTGGAAATATTTTAGGCTATAGCAAATTATTTCTTGGACCCCCTATCACTTTAAGAACCGCTGGTCTACACAGAAGAAAGCCCTGTCTAGACTCTGCCCCGGTACGAGTTGTGTCGAGCTATTCATTAGTCTGTTTGTTTGATGAAAAATTTGAAATTGATAAAATGGGTTATTAATCCGTACAACTGCAGCAGTGGAGGACTATTATTCTGCTGCATGATACTGCGGAAGAACTGATGAAGGCACGGTTTGATCTTCGGCTGACCAATCAGCAGAAAGGGGCGTTTAATTCCCGCCCACATGTAGAAAGCAAATATTCAAGCTGTTTATTCATTTTTCCACCCATGAACGAAAAACTAAAATTTAAGCTGAATTCTCATTTCTCGTTTTTTGGAGAAAAACTAAAAAACAAAAAAGGAGCCGTTTTCTCATTTTTCTACTTTCAATATTAAATCAAAAAACGAATGATCGAATGATACACGGATTCCTTTGGGTTTTTTTTTTTTTTTCCCCTGATGGTTTAATTTGTTTAGTATGTCACAAAGCACAGCAGAGTTATGTAAATGCTTAGATTTATTTTATTCATGAGGTAATTTGGCCTCTTAAGCATCTTCCCCATTTTTGGTCAGATTTATTGATACATAGTCATTCGAAATGTAAAATAGTTGAACCCTTTTGTCATGTGTGAGCTTTAAAGCACTTCTGTGCAATTGAGTTGCATAGAAATGGTTGCTTTTGCTTTGGATTGAAATTACTCAAATTGGCTTTGCATCGATTCCATTCGCTTCAGTTTCATTCCATAATGCTACATTCTATTCCATTCAGCTTAAATCAGTTCAAATAAACAGTTAAATTCAGTTCCATTCCATTCAGCTCCAATTAGTTAAAATCAATTCAGTTCCATTCCATTCAGCTCCAGTTAGTTAAAAATCAATTCCGTTCCATTCCAGTGTGCTTTGATATGACAGATGGTTTGTATTGCCAAAGCATTTGCAAACTTAAGCATGATAGAAGAAATAATACTAAAATTTAAGTTAAATATGAAATTGTGAAAACTTAAAATGAATAAACACTATAAATTAAGTATTTACTGTGAGTTCTTAATTCATGCAAGTGGTATGCATTATTATTTATTTATTCATTTATTTATTTATTTATTTTTTACCAGATACTGAAATTGTGTTTTATACTCCAACTTTCAGAAATCAGGACAAAATGTTTCAAATGTGGGATATTTTTCTTAAATCCTACATAGGACAGATGGTCAGTCCAAACTTATCTTGCTCTTTCTGGACAGCTGCTTTGTTTATATCCGTTTTTCTTTGATGCCAGTCGGATTTTTCAGTCTGCACCAAGTCATGTTTCTTCTCTGGTACTCTGTTGTTGTATATTCTGTTTGGGGCCAAATAACTTTGCCGTTTCCTTTGTATTGTTTTAGTCAGTTTATTTTTGTGCATTGATCATTTGGCTAGGCCAGATTCTTGTTAGTCATTTCAGTCATATTAGTCATGCTTTGGACCACCTGAATTAATGGACTCCTCACAGATTTAATGGAATGGTTTTCAAAAGCTTGAATATGGTAATTGAGGTTACTTAGTTTTAGATATTTCCATTGGGTCCTTGTTCAATGCAGATTAATATACTGTAGGGTTTTGACCTTATTCTGGCCAGCTTGCTTTGTTAGGTGCACTGTGTACCCTGAGGATACTCTTACAAAACTGCATGAATGGCTTCAAATCAGGTTTTATTCCAGTTTTCAAATTCATGATTCAGTAGAAGACCTCAAACCGACTGCCATATAAAGTATTAGCTTCTGTAGCTGAATGCATTTTGAGCCAGATTCTAATTGATATTTCAAATTGAACAGACATTTTGTTGGCATCAGATGCCCTTTTTTTTCATTTTATTCATTAAGCTGAGGTTTTCTCTAATTTACAACGGGGCTGAAGGAACACACAAACATTTTTGTAGCCTATTGTACCATGTATGTAGTTTTTGACGTGTTTAATTTGCTTAATATTTTGTTTAATATAAAGCTTGAAACCGTTATATAACCATATAATATTCAGACCAACTGCATAATTGCAATGTAATATTGCTTTTACAATAGTTCCATAATCATGAAGTTACTATAAAGTAACTTTTCAAGACACATTTAAGACCGCATTTTACCAGTTAATATACTTTTTTTCTGGTTCAAATGGTTTAAAAATAAGCCACAGCATCAATCTTTGCTGCAAATCAATCTGAGCATTGCTTGACAACATACAATACAGAGCAACAGCAACTTCCTCTTCCTGTTCATTGTTCCGCTCCAGGTCCACTCCAGGGTTTTAAGTTCATTTTCAAATAACTGAAAAAAAAAAATCTAATAAATAAATAATATTGCTCTGCACCACTCAAATAATCTATTTTGGAATGTCCCAATGCTGTTGGACTCTGTCCCCTCCCTTGGAATGCCACTTGGCCAATCAAATTAGAGGACTGTAACTATCTGTTAAATATATTCAATATATATATTGAAGAGGGTCAGTGCCTTAGTCTGCCCTTGAATGAAGAATTCAGTTTGAATTCAGCCTTTGCCTCTGTGTCTCTCACACACACCCTTTATATGTTCTTGGGTTTGTAATTGCAGCAGGAGACAGGATTAATGGCTGCTGTGTTTAGTGAAGTATTGATCTTGTTAAAAGCAGTTATTCTGTGTTAATAAGCAGACTGCAGTCAGAGGCTCCTCTTTCCCTCTCTTTATCTCTCCCCTGCCGCATTTCCTTCCTGCAATTTCTGTCCTACCTGTTTTGTCTCTGGTATCTTCTTCCTCTTTTCTTCACTTTGTTGTGGCCTGTTGTTGTTTTCCAGCTTGTCTCACATTCCTCTCTCTGCATTGCACTTTCTGTCTTTCTTTCTGGCCCCAAGACATCGTGCCTCCAGCCAGTATAGTCATATCCATAAAACATGAGTTAAGGTCCATGGGGTTATGCTCTGTAGACAATGGATAGGTGTTGGGCTCTGTCCAAATGGCCACATGCACCCTGCAGCTCACTCATTTTGTTGCATTAACGCTGAATACGATTAGCTGTAACACAATAAGAACATGCAGGTACAGTGTTTACCTACACAAATGTTGAGACCTGTATGTGCCCTATGAATGTTTCTGTACGTTATGTCTCAAACAATGGCACACAGAGGGAAGACGCAGAGGCTTGGAACCTTTTCTATAATCTAAAAGTGCCCTTCTAGTAAATACATTTATTTTTATATTTATTTTTTAAATTAGAATAGATGTTGGACCAAACAAGATCATCTAAAGTGAAAACCTTCTGAGACTTTTAAACCAACAATAAAAAAAACATACTGACACTATACGTCTAACAACAGAAATATGGGATTTGTGCCTCTTATTCTTTATAGAAGGTAACCAAAGTAGAAACCAAAGTGTGCAGTATTTGTAGAAAGTGCCTTATACTAACTAATTTGCAGTGCTGTGGGATATTTTTTGCACCCCCCATATATTTCCCCCACGTATTTTTGCATATTTTTACACTGAATATAATTAGAACTTAAACAAGAACCTATGAAGGCAAAAGTGAACTAAAAACACAGAGATTTACATTAAATACATTTTTATATTTACATGTTTCATGTATCTATTAAAGAAAGCAATTAGGTGGCAATAATGGCAGCCAAATACTTACTGTGTAGTTATTTATGCATGTTTTCCCTTCTTTGCAGAACTGCTTCATTTGTGACATTTGTGGACTTTTGAGCATGCTAGCACATTTCAGGTTCCTCCATCAGCATTTTAGTGGAGTTTATGTGAGGAAATTACTGTGCCATTTGAGAACTTTTACATTTTTCTTTCAACCCTTCTCTTATAGACTTGCTTGTGTTTCAGATCATTGTCTTGCATTGTCCAAAACAATCAAAAAACGCCAATAACAATATTAAAAATGGGCAAATGCAGAAAATTCATTTTCACGACATTGGAATTTTAAGTGGCCTTTTTCTGCCCCTGTGGAGGTCTACGCAACCCACTTATCTGACTCCATCTTTTATTTCCAGTCCTGTTTGCGAGTCAGCATGCTTTTTATGTCTTTTTCCTCTCTTTCTCTCTATGACTCTTTCTCCAACCCCTTCCCTCTCACACGTTACACCCTCATGTACAGCATCAGCAGACCTGCTGGATAAATGGACTTGGCAGTCATTGAAGGTTCACATGGTAATTTATTGATAACTCAACTCTATAAAACATTTCCATGCATCAGAATTGCTATGGGATATTCTGTGGTGCAGTAAAGCCGTTTATCTTTTCTGAAAAGCCATTCAATTAGAGCGAGGTGGAGGGCCAGTCCACATGCCTGCTTATGAAGTCACCATGAAGATAAATTATGGAAATCAGAGCAGCGCTGACAAAAAACATGTCACCCATAGAACCCAAACCTGACATCAGATTTATGGTGGGTCAGTAAACACTCGCCATAGGCTATAATTTACTGCTTGAATTTTTATTTTTTTGGTCCTGGAAGAGGTCAAACCACAGTGAATAAAGTTTAATGGACTTTAAGTAGTTTGACTAAGTTCTTTTAGATTAAACAAAATCAATTCTCCAGCACGAGTGGGCCATCACAGCATATTAACAACGACCTTAATGTACCTCATCTGGTTCGGGGGACAATTGGGGGGGGGCTGCGCATTGCCTTAATTGATTTTTTTACAAGCAATTTGAAAAGGTTGAGTGATCACTGCTTCAACAGACCTTGGCTACGACTGCTCATTCTCTCGTTTCTGTCACTTTACAGTCTTCCATTGCCATCCATCTCTCATTTCTGTCTTCCTTCAGGCTTTCCACCAAAGACATCGAGGACAGAACGGAGGCTCTGGGTCTGTTTGAGACTCTAAAGACCAACCCGGAGTCATTCTACACACACATGACTAAATATGTGTACCCCAGTATAGCCGGAACTGACCAGCTCCGACTCCTCTTCTACTTCACTCTTCTGGAGAACTGCGGCTGTGCAAGCTACTTCCCTCAATCTGCTATGAAGCATGACACGCACCTCAAACTGCTAAAGAAGCTCAAAGCCGTCGCCATCGGTGAGTCCAAACAAACACATCAGATTTCATCACTTCCAATCTTAAAGATCAGATTTGAAAGCCAAATTTGAACAAAGCCTGTGTTGCAAAAATGTTGGATGCAGCCAGCAGTGAGATGACTGTAAAATCATTGTAAAGAAAAGAGGATTCAATCGATACCTAGCCAACCTGGTAACACAAATGAAGTGATAAATCAGCTCCTGCTTGCAAGTATGTCAATCAACACCATAACCAGAAATTTTCCATGTAATGACACATCTCTCTCCAGCTGAGACAATGGGAAATGGGTCACTGAGCTGTGAGGATGCCAATGAAAGTAAGAGGAATGTTAATTAGCCCGCGTACAATACATTTTTGTTCTTTTCTGATAAGAAATTAAAGATTATTGTGAAGCAAATGAGACATGGAGTGAGGTTTAAATGAGTTCATTAGCTATGTACCTCTCTCTCTCTCTCCAGTATTGGGGCGCTGCATGTGATGCATGTGATAATGGCAAACTTAACCGGGATCATTCACTCATAACTGCAGGAGAGTTGTGTACTTATGTGAATTTGTTTGTCCAGATTCACAGCCGGTGCGCATATCTTTTAATTAGTTCTGAATACAATTACATGTGCCTGCAGTTAATAATTACACACATCTACACACACACACACACACACACACACACATATATATATATAGAGAGAGAGAGAGAGAGAGAGAGAGAACTACTGTTTTGGGTCAGTAAATTTTTTTTTTCTTTTTGAATGAAATTAGATGCAGTAAGGATGCATAAAGTTTATCAAAAGTGACAGTAAAGACATTTATAATGATACACAGGATTTCTATTTCAAATAAATGCTGTATTTATGAACTTTCTACTCATCAAAGAATCCAGAAAAAGATGTATCACAGTTTCCACAAAAATATTAAAGGTGGCACATCATGAGAATCTGACTTTTCCAGGTTTTAAGTGCTATAATCAGGTCCCCAGTGCATCTACCAACTAAGGAAACGTGAAAAAGATTAACCCAGTAACTTTGTTTTGGGAAGCCTTTTTCTGAAAGCGTCTGAGAAAACGAGCGTGTCTGATTTCGCTCCCTTGGTGACGTGGCAAAGGGATTTCATTATAATATTACCGCCCCTTAATCTGTAAGTTTACACCCACAACGGCGTCATTTGATTTCGCAAGTAACAACGGTGTACCAGCTCTAATGCCATGGCGAAAGTTTGAGCAAAACATGCTAACTGTTCTGTCTTTGGCTGCACAGACCAGCACAGAACACTATTTACAGTCCCAGCCTCAGAGGAGACAAGCAGTGGATTTATTGATTTATTTACTGTATATTGCTGCTGCCACACTGATCTAAAGTAAACATGCAATTTATTTCCCAGCTGTTTACCTTCACAGACATAACCGACTGTTTTTTTGTGACTGTTTTTTGTAACTCGTGTGTTTCTAATGTAAACCTGTGTGTGAATGAGAGCTTAGTTTAGTACTCACATGCTGTGTGGTGGCCGCTTTCTGTCCATGTGCTTCGGGTGTGTGCTCTCAAAAAACTTTATATCATAAGTTTAAACTCGTATGGTTTAAAACACATGATTTCAGAGCGATAAACATGATAATCAGAACCAAAACAGATGTTTTTTTTTAGCAGGTACAAGCTAGGGATGGGCGTATCGATCCGAAGTATCGATATTTAAGACTGCAGAAATGTGTTAATTCAGTATACACATTATCCCACTGGTTACAAATGTGACTGACCATAAAATAAAAATGTTCACACACTTTACCAAAAAAAAAAAATTATTGATTATTTCAAAGGGTTACTAATGACACATCATTTGGATATTTTCATGTCTGGGAAAAATTTGGGATTAAACAGGTTATTTAGTAATTTAATAATTTAAAAGTTTAGTGCAGAAGTATCGAATCGGTATCGATATCGATGATACTGCCTTGAAAAATATAGGTATCGTATCGAAAACAAAATAAGGGGTATCGCCCATCCCTAGTACAAGCTGTAATGGCGTAGCTCTATTCTGGAAAAGGGGGCGGGGAGCAGCAGCTCATTTGCATTTAAAGAGACAGGCCCAAAAAACATCGTGTTTGTGCTTCCACTCAAAATAGGCATTTTCAAAATTATATAATAAATGATCTGTGGAGTATTTTGAGCTGAAACTTCACAGACACATTCTGGGGACACCAGAGACTTATATTACATATTGTAAAAAGGGGCATAATATATCTCCTTTTAGCATCACAATTATTTTCAAGCATATTATAATGATTTCTGAAGGATGATGTGGTACTGAATACTGGAGTAATGGCTTTTAAAAATTCAGCTTTGCCATCACATGAACTAATTACATTTTAAAATATATTATTAAATATCAAATATTGTAGTATTTCTTCACATATTACTGTTTTACTGTATATTCAATCCAATAAATGCAGACATGGTGACGAGCGCAAGAGAGTTATATTAAAACATTTTAAAAATCGTACCAATGCCAAACTTTTGAACAGTATACGTCTATTATTTATTTATTTTTATTTATTTATTTAGTCATTTAGCAGACGCTTTTATCCAAAGCGACTTACAAATGAGGACAATAAAAGCAGTCAAAACTAACAAAAGAGCAACAATATATAAGTGCAAAAAAGTCTCGGTTAGCCTAACGCAGGACACATAGCAAGGTGTGTGTGTGTGTATATATACAGTGGGGCAAAAAAGTATTTAGTCAGCCACCAATTGTGCAAGTTCTCCCACTTAAAAAGATGAGAGAGGCCTGTAATTTTCATCATAGGTATACCTCAACTATGAGAGACAAAATGAGAAAAAAAAATCCAGAAAATCACATTGTAGGATTTTTAAAGAATTAATTGGTAAATTCATCAGTAAAATAAGTATTTGGTCACCTACAAACAAGCAAGATTTCTGGCTCTCACAGACCTGTAACAACTTCTTTAAGAGGCTCCTCTGTCCTCCACTCGTTACCTGGTGTGTGTGTGTGTGTGTGTATGTATATATATATTATACTCACACACATATACACACACACAAAACAAGTAGATAGAATAGAAAAAATAGAAAGCTAGTGTTTGTTTGTTTTTTGTTTGTTTGTTTTTTTTAAATAAAAAAATACAGTAAAATATACATTTTGAATATACAGTAAACAGTATATTTATAGTCTTATACTAAAATATTATGGTTCTGAGTTGCTTTGTGTCACTTCTTCAATATCATAAAAATACCTTACCTAAGACAGACTTTTGACTCACTGTAGTTCTGAAAAGAACTAGAACTAATGACGTCGCCTTGTTTAAACTTGATAATCTTGGAGAGAGTGTTTTGAGAGGTCAGGAGGGGAGTTTGTCAGAGAGTTTTCACACCACACTCTCTCCTGTCTCAACTGATACCTTCCCTTTTTAACACTCACACTTAGTAGGCACCGGAAACACACTCTGTCGCATACATGCTTCCAGACTCGGGCCTGTAAAGACTGTTCATATCATCTGCCACAACCCAAGGGAGAGAGATAGCACCTTTTTTCCCCACATCTCTGTCTGTTAGAGTGTATGTATGTGTTGAATGCCCTTCTTACCCTTGTCGTGAGATGGGCCCATTCTCAGAGGCAGGTGTTTCAATATTTAATGCCCTGATGAGACCTTGTGTGTCAGTGTATTCTTGTCTGTCTGACTTGATATTTCCACATATTCACATAGATTGACACAAATAGAAACCACATGAAAGCTTGAAACTGCAATAAATGTCCCATTTTTTGGATTAATAGAGATGAAAAGAGTATTCTCAAATTTCACATAATGGATTCCAGTGTGACAACTTGCCCCTGTAGAGTGACAACATGGTCACAAAAGGTCAACATATTCAGTGAACTGGTGAATAATGGGCAAAAATAGCTTTTTGTAGACTTTAAGTTTTGTATTTATACAGATATTGACTTTATAAAAAACACACCCACCCTGAGAAATATTCACTGTAGTGTGACAACTAGCCCCAGTCTGTGTTCTATATGATGCCGAAATCATGTCTTATTGCTTAGGTTTGGACTATAAGAAGTTGACAGATGAGGATTCCGATCCTTTGAAGGCTCTGGAACCGGTACTGACCAGCCAGAACGTCCTGTCAATCTCCAAATTGGCCCCTCGAATCCCCCAGAAGGGAGGTGAAGCGCTTACCTCTAGCGCTGTACATGCCACCTGGCTTCATAAACTGTTCTGGGAAGGGGATCAACATGTGCTGAAAAAAGTCCCCCAGAGTGATCACGAGTTCCTGCATGCCTATGACACCTGTGCCAAATACTTTGACCGACTTCTTCCTGTAGATTCTGTTAACTTCTTGGATGCCATTACCTTTTCCCCTGAAGCTGGCAGTAAGGTGAGTCTAATGCAGAAAATGAGTGGGTTTTTTGGGGTTCTGCGAAGTTGTACTTACAAAATCCTTTCAAACTAAAAAAAATAAATAAATGATTTGACAGAAATTACAGTGAGTACAAGACAAGATTATAGATGTATCTTTATCTATAAGCAATCAGCTGTGTTTTTATTTCAAATACTGTCAGTCAAATGCATGATTATTTAAATTATTCACTTCCCGCCCATTTGAGAGCTTAATGGAGGACTGGAAGGGCCACTTAAAGCTAAAAATTAAAAAATGATTATCAGTGTATTACATTAATCTGTAAATAAATCACTGTTTAAATTGGCTAATACATTTTTTTTTTAATTGCAAAGAACATTTTTTAAATTGCAATTTAAAAGGTGCAATTAAATTATTTATTAATGTACCATTTTATTGTTATATTGAACAAACGTTTTAAACATGAATCAAATAAATAGTTTTAAATGTCTATTTTTTTGTCCATTTGAAACATTTATTTATTGGTTTACTGATACATTTACTTGCTACATATCAATTTAGTCAATTTAATTTGAAAAATAAATATGTAAATAAATGACTAAAATTGACAAATGTATTTGAAACTATAGAAAAGCACTGCTTTTTCCATTTAAAAATGCACTTTTAAAGTGATTATTAATGGATTTTCCACATTGTATCCACTTTATAGCATCAAGTCAGATGCTTTGTCCAGTGCAAATGTTCTCATAGACTCTTAGTGAAGCACGGTGCCCAGATTGACATGTTTAAAGTCTGTTGTCCAATAACATAAATCATCACATGCACATATATGCCATAACTTATGCATATGGTGTATTCACAGACTTCTCTGGACATGTTCATGTCTACTAAGTGCTGTTTGATGTTTTAGCACCTCTCATCTCTTCCTGTCTCTCATAGATGGCTTAATTTTCTATTTATTCTGCCTGCAAGTCAAACATCCACGTGCATGCAGAAAAAGACACATACACACGGCCCTGTGGCAAACATCCTAAATGAGCCTCTGTAATCAAAAGGCTAATCGCTAATGCTCGGTGGCCCCTGGAGTGTTCAGATGATGTTATTGTAATGATTGTTATGTTGATATAATGTTATAATGATTAGATTTAGCAGAAAGCAAGTTACAAACACTCATTGCCATAAACACACACCCACTCCCACCATTAAGGTGAGCGCAGCATTGATTTGGTGCTCAAGAATACCACAGGGAAAAACAACTAATGACATCTGCCATGCTTCTGCTGTAGACTGTGTGAGAACCGTGAGTAAATACAGTTAACGTGCGTGTGTGTGTAAATGACAGCAGGAGAATGTAGGAGGGAAGTGTCAGAGGTAAACCGTATAAGATGAATCCAGGCATGTGAAGTGTTCTCACCGAGATGAATCTGGATGAGAAATGAGATGAAACCGAATTATGCTCATTAGAGTTGGGCATTATAATAGTAGATATGCAGCAGAATAACAACCCATTGCTGACTGAATAAGTTTGTAAACAGAAAAGCATGAGCACATTTCTCCATTTCAGATTGTGGGCCAATTCTGGGTAGCTTCTACTATATTGGTTTCACCTGTGGGTGACTATTAAAAGCCATTTAGAATTGATTTTTATTCACTATTATTATGGGGATTATTTATTTTGATGATGGAAAACTGCTGTTCTTTTGAACTTTGTCCATCAAAAAATATGTATTGGAGTTTCCACAAATTATTTAGCAGCACAGCCATTTTCAATATTGATAATAATAAGAAACATTTCTTAAGAACTAATTCAGCATATTAGAATCATTTCTAAATAGTTATTTTAAATTGTAATAATATTTAACAGTATCACCGTTTTGACTATTTTTGATCAAATAAGAGACTTCTTTCAAAAACATAAAAATCTGATTGACCCCAAACTTTGTAATGGTAGTGTATAAATAATGTATATTAATATTATAATCATTTATCTTAATGTATATGAAAATAAATAGCTGCCTTTTTATAGGAAGGGGTATCATCATTTTTTTAAAAGTTGCATAGAAAAAAAAAGTTTTACAAAAAAAACCACTTTAGATTTAACATATTTGTTTTTCTCTTTCCTTTGTGTGTGTGTGTGTGTGTGTGTGTGTTTTGTATCTGTTTAGCTCTCAGTAGAGTCCCGGCTGGAGATCACTAAGCGCGCACAGAAGGCTCTAAAAGGAATTAGTGACAAGAGTAAGAAAAAGGCTAATGATGACAGAAGTGAAAACTCCGCTTCCAGCTTTGACTCCGCCCTCACTCACATACAGCAGTCTCTTGCCCATCTAGAGACTCTGAGCCACTCTTTTCCTCTGTCACTCAAGACAAGCCAAGAGGTATTTTCTCACCACACGCATACAAAATTTTACTGTCCTCTTGTGATTTGATCATCTAAGACAGATGCTAACTGTAAGCAGGGCCTTAAATATTATGTAAGTGCCCACCTTACTTGTCCTTTTTCCTTTTTTTTCTTTTTCTTTCTGCTTCACAATTTCTCACTTTCCTGAGTTGTATGACAGTGACTGTGATTGATTGGCAGGTTTGTAGCTGGTGTCCTGTCTGCAGGATAGTAGCGGGCAGTCCATGTCAGCCTGTGGTTTTTTAAATTCACACATTGAGCCATTTGTATATGGAAATATATGGATTCATTTTTACAGTGCACACTTATCGAGCAGATACTGCCGCATCTTATTACCGACACACTTTCACCATGTCACACAACATGCTCCCATAGGAATGTGCACGATCACGGAAACTGCAGTGGAAATCTCTGTCCCAGTTGCCTTACTGCCTACAACCTACCAGTGTAGGAGATTCACTGAATTAAACTGGCAATGCTACTTTCTTAAAGGTCCCATATTGTAGCCCCTCTTTTCCTCTGTCACTCAAGACAAGCCAAGAGGTATTTTCTCACCACACACATACAAAATTTTACTGTCCTCTTGTGATTTGATCATCTAAGACAGATGCAGGGCCTTAAATATTATGTAAGTGCCCACCTTACTTGTCCTTTTTCCTTTTTTTTCTTTTTCTTTCTGCTTCACAATTTCTCACTTTCCTGAGTTGTATGACAGTGACTGTGATTGATTGGCAGGTTTGTAGCTGGTGTCCTGTCTGCAGGATAGTAGCGGGCAGTCCATGTCAGCCTGTGGTTTTTTAAATTCACACATTGAGCCATTTGTATATGGAAATATATGGATTCATTTTTACAGTGCACACTTATCGAGCAGATACTGCCGCATCTTATTACCGACACACTTTCACCATGTCACACAACATGCTCCCATAGGAATGTGCACGATCGCGGAAACTGCAGTGGAAATCTCTGTCCCAGTTGCCTTACTGCCTACAACCTACCAGTGTAGGAGATTCACTGAATTAAACTGGCAATGCTACTTTCTTAAAGGTCCCATATTGTCAAAACTGAAATTTCCTGGCTTTTTTCTCAATAACTGTGGTCTAGGGGCAATATAACTACCATGTAAGTTTCAAAACAGTCAGTCCACAGTAAAATGCACACAGCCTGCATAAAGTAGCTGTGATTTTTCACGAACCGTTGTGACTTCCGTAAAAAGGTGACGTCAGAACTACTCAGTCACTGCCTTCAGTCACCACCCCGAGCACCGCCCACCGTCCCTCTCTCCTTTTGCCAAACCCCCAGACAACATCGCGTCCATGCCATTGCTGAGCAACAACAACACGGAAACATGTTGAAAAGTTTAACTTTAACCACGAAACCAGATCGGCCGACCTGTAACGTTACACTCACTCAAAGGATGGATGATCTGACAGGATTGTTACTATGAGGTGGATCGCATCTAACATGTATAGTACAGACAAACTCACCGTGTCTATCTAGTCATGATGAAGATTTCAGCAGGCAACTATTTTTACAGCTACATTATTGTTCCAGCCACAATAAATCACAACAATGTATACACAATTACAAATGATTATATATATAAATCGTCAGTTTGTTGTTTTACACACATGTACACAGACATTATTTCATACATGACATAGTGGAGAGATGCAAAAAACATACATCTATGGCAAGAAATCTGTAGCCCATAACAACAAAAGACAATACTTTATTAAACCTTTTCTGATAAGAAGTATGCACTGCAAACGCGAGAATTTTTGACGATCGTTTCTGTCCAGTCCGCTCGTTTTATCGCATTTAACCACAGCTGTCATCGTTTTTTTGTCTGGCAGTGGCAGCAGATATGCGATCAAATTTCTAATTTGAGGCTGTATTACGTCGATTCTGGCACCCAACATCACAACAAGATGATATTTTAAGCTCCTTATGTAGCCTAAATAGTTATTTTAAATTGTAATAATATTTAACAGTATCACCGTTTTGACTATTTTTGATCAAATAAGAGACTTCTTTCAAAAACATAAAAATCTGATTGACCCCAAACTTTGTAATGGTAGTGTATAAATAATGTATATTAATATTATAATCATTTATCTTAATGTATATGAAAATAAATAGCTGCCTTTTTATAGGAAGGGGTATCATCATTTTTTTAAAAGTTGCATAGAAAAAAAAAAAAATTACAAAAAAAACCACTTTAGATTTAACATATTTGTTTTTCTCTTTCCTTTGTGTGTGTGTGTGTGTGTGTGTGTGTTTTTTGTATCTGTTTAGCTCTCAGTAGAGTCCCGGCTGGAGATCACTAAGCGCGCACAGAAGGCTCTAAAAGGAATTAGTGACAAGAGTAAGAAAAAGGCTAATGATGACAGAAGTGAAAACTCCGCTTCCAGCTTTGACTCCGCCCTCACTCACATACAGCAGTCTCTTGCCCATCTAGAGACTCTGAGCCACTCTTTTCCTCTGTCACTCAAGACAAGCCAAGAGGTATTTTCTCACCACACACATACAAAATTTTACTGTCCTCTTGTGATTTGATCATCTAAGACAGATGCAGGGCCTTAAATATTATGTAAGTGCCCACCTTACTTGTCCTTTTTCCTTTTTTTTTCTTTTTCTTTCTGCTTCACAATTTCTTGTATGACAGTGACTGTGATTGATTGGCAGGTTTGTAGCTGGTGTCCTGTCTGCAGGATAGTAGCGGGCAGTCCATGTCAGCCTGTGGTTTTTTAAATTCACACATTGAGCCATTTGTATATGGAAATATATGGATTCATTTTTACAGTGCACACTTATCGAGCAGATACTGCCGCATCTTATTACCGACACACTTTCACCATGTCACACAACATGCTCCCATAGGAATGTGCACGATCACGGAAACTGCAGTGGAAATCTCTGTCCCAGTTGCCTTACTGCCTACAACCTACCAGTGTAGGAGATTCACTGAATTAAACTGGCAATGCTACTTTCTTAAAGGTCCCATATTGTCAAAACTGAAATTTCCTGGCTTTTTTCTCAATAACTGTGGTCTAGGGGCAATATAACTACCATGTAAGTTTCAAAACAGTCAGTCCACAGTAAAATGCACACAGCCTGCATAAAGTAGCTGTGATTTTTCACGAACCGTTGTGACTTCCGTAAAAAGGTGACGTCAGAACTACTCAGTCACTGCCTTCAGTCACCACCCCGAGCACCGCCCACCGTCCCTCTCTCCTTTTGCCAAACCCCCAGACAACATCGCGTCCATGCCATTGCTGAGCAACAACAACACGGAAACATGTTGAAAAGTTTAACTTTAACCACGAAACCAGATCGGCCGACCTGTAACGTTACACTCACTCAAAGGATGGATGATCTGACAGGATTGTTACTATGAGGTGGATCGCATCTAACATGTATAGTACAGACAAACTCACCGTGTCTATCTAGTCATGATGAAGATTTCAGCAGGCAACTATTTTTACAGCTACATTATTGTTCCAGCCACAATAAATCACAACAATGTATACACAATTACAAATGATTATATATATAAATCGTCAGTTTGTTGTTTTACACACATGTACACAGACATTATTTCATACATGACATAGTGGAGAGATGCAAAAAACATACATCTATGGCAAGAAATCTGTAGCCCATAACAACAAAAGACAATACTTTATTAAACCTTTTCTGATAAGAAGTATGCGCTGCAAACGCGAGAATTTTTGACGATCGTTTCTGTCCAGTCCGCTCGTTTTATCGCATTTAACCACAGCTGTCATCGTTTTTTTGTCTGGCAGTGGCAGCAGATATGCGATCAAATTTCTAATTTGAGGCTGTATTACGTCGATTCTGGCACCCAACATCACAACAAGATGATATTTTAAGCTCCTTATGTAGCCGAATCTGCGCTGGTTTGAATGGGCCACCTCCAGTTTCCCCTTTGTTTTGCTGCCTCCAGCTGGCGCTGTGACGTCGGCTGACCCTAGTTACCTGTGGTTGGCCTGGCCGTGCGTCACTCAGAAAACAACAGGCCAGTCAGAAGAGAGGCTCATGAATATTAATTAGACAGGCCAAAATCAACCTGTTCTCAGCAGAGCTCCTGAGAGAAGAGGAGCTGTAAAATATATATTGAGATGGTTTTTGGTACTTATACCGCAAATGTACATTCTTAAGGACATCAAAACCTAAAATAAAACTCCAGAAAGGTGTAAAATATGTGACCTTTAAATTCAGAATGAAAAGTAGGTAGTGACAGACCTTTTCTTCCGTATTTTGGTGTACATCTGAGTGTAATGGATTATCGAAAAATAAAAACTTAGACTTGATTCTGTCCATGGGTTGTTGATGGGCGTTGCACGCAAAAGTGGATGCAGATGAATGCGAGCATGAAGTTCACTAGGTTTTGGAATTGTGTGTGGGACCGGGTGTGTATGTGTGTGAGACGAGCTTGTGCCTCTTGATTCTCAGCAACCAAACAAATTGTTCTGTTCTTTGTCTTCAGGTGTACTGCTGCTGTATGTCTCTCAAGATACTTAAGGCTTTGTTTTTGTTTCGGCACATATTACTCATTGATTACTGCCAGAGGATGGGGAGCATAAAGAGTTTTCTGAGCATGATTTAGTGTTAATGTTTTTGTATTGTCTTTTTTAGGAGCTCTTGCAGAAGTACAGTCGCATTTATGACCTGTCCAGATCCGAGCAATCTAAGGTGCGCCATCTGGCCATCACAATGGCCATGGATGGACAGCCCCTCGAACGGATCGAGCAGCTGCTCGCAGTCACTGTGGGAACAAGCGATCTGTCGGCAGAAAGCATAGTCCAGGATGCAGTGGAGCAAATCATAACTGCTCTCAGGTACGATGAGCTGCAGTTCGCAGATTTCTGTTTGCCAGTGTCGTTTTCTTAATATCACCCTCATTTTCTCTCTGTCTGTTTTATACCCTCGCTGGTATTGCTTTCTCTGTCTCTCTTTTCCACTCTCAGTCTCTGTCTTTATGGCCTATACCTCTATTAACCTGTGTCAGGCTGGGTGTGTTTTTGCTTGATTGAGTTAAACACAGCATTGGCCTCTGCCCTGGCCTCTCATCTCTCTCCTTTACAGCTCACTTTCTCTCTTTTTCTTACCTTTCATCTTCTGCTTTTAGGAGGTCGCCACCTTCCCTGCTGGCTGGTTCTTAATAACACCGTGTCCTTAGTAATACTAGCAATTCAGAGAGCAGGTAGTGCTAGCTTAGATTTTTTTAACCAATCTCTGATTTTCCACCACAACTTGCGAAACTCTTTAAGGCAGTTATTTTGAACCTATTCTTTAAGGTTTCAGACCAAGCTGCCAACGTTTAAGAGCCCAGAGGTCTGGACAGACTGTTACTGTGATTAATAATTTGACTTGGTGGAGCATCGTTCATTCAGCAAGTTTCAAGTATTGGGTCTTGCAGCTATGCAGCCAAATATTTCTCAGAGGATTTCCGTTTAGATCTTCTTCTTTCATTAGTCGGTATGTAACATAATAGTGGATGACCAAATATCAATGTGTGTGTTGATATAAACAGTCAGCCAGTATTGCATATTTTAATGTGCATTCTCATTTTCAACATTTTTACATGAACTACATTACTTTTGCATCATCTGTCGCTCACTTTTAAGTTCATCTTTAAAAACAAACAATTCATTTCAAAATATAATATTTTGTATTTTTTTTTATTTTAATGTTTTTTTTACACAGTATTGTAATTTTATTAATATTTTGGATTGACTATTCAAAATTAACAATTTTGACATGTGAAACTAGTTAATTAGATAATAATAGTACAATAGTACAAGTACAATTAAATTAACGTACAATCACATGTACATATATTGCCTTATTGTTGCTTCGAACAAGGCTCATCCTATCAGATTTTTATAGCCATAGTTTAACATTTTAAACAAAACAACAAAGTTTCATTAATGGATTGCATTTCAAGATTTTATTATTGACACATCCCTACTTTTCACTTATTCATTTTGTATGTACTGTGAATAGGCTTTTTCAAACCAAATACTTGGCTTTTTTTTTTTTTTTTATCTCCAAGACCATCAAAGAGCGGGAACCCATCTTTCTGCAGCTCCTGATTAGTCATCCTGCTTCGTGAGTCTGTGTTGATCAGACGTTTCAGCTCAATCCGTAATCAAGCAGGATTAGTGAAGGTCTCCTGAATCCGAGAAAACGATGGTCAGAAAAATTAAGATTGATTACAGTTAGCTTTTATTCAGACGCAGTCTACCGCTTTTTTCTCTGCTGGAGTGATTCATATTCTAGGTAATTGCTTATAACTAAAACGTGTTCCTGTCTTCTGCTGCTAATTATTGGTTTGCAGAGGTGGGCAAATGAGTCATTAACAATGAAATGATTTGGGCGCTGGGAATTGTCAAACTATTTAAGTTTATTTCATCAAATTGTATTCTCGGCTTTACTTAGATTTCTTGCGGCCTGTTTTCTTTTTTAAGAAGTCAGAAATCTTTTTTTAAAAGGAGGAGGAATCTGTGGTCTACAACCTGCTCATGATTGATGTTTATATCTGGGGAGTAAAAGATTATGGTTACGTTTCATGTATAAATAATCCTTTAGAAGCACAGTGTTCCTCCGGTGTGTGTGTGTGTGTGGTTGCGTTTAGTGAATTTTAAAGCAAGGTTTTAAGGTTTTACGAATGCATCATAATATTGAAGATGCTAAAATTCTTGCATACTGAAGGGATGCTGAGATATTTAGAAAATGGTTTGCAGTTGAAATCTGCTTAATAAACGATTAGATCAGTTTTGGGATGATGTGGCTTGTATAAACTACCGTTCAAAAGTTTGAGTTTGGTCTCTCTTGCTCACCAAGGCTGCATTTATTTGATCAAAAATATGGTAAAAGCAGTAATATTGTAAAATATTATTAGTTTAAAATAACTGTTTTCTATTTCAATATATTTTAAATGTATTTTATTCCTGTAATGGCAAAGCTGAATTTTGTTGAAAAGGTGATTTTTTTTTTTTATTTTTTTTTTTTTTATATATATATATATATATATGAAAAGATAAAGTTCAAAAGAACAGCATTCATTTGAAATAGATTTTTTAAATGTAATCCTTTTTTTTTTAATTCCTTAAAAAAATCTTACTGACTACAAACTTTTGAATGGTATTCTATATGTGGAATACTTTAAGTATTAGTATCATAGAAAAGTCATTGACATCGTTGTATGATTATTATAAAAGTATTACAATCAGAATGCAATATTTTAGATGATTGAAAGAGAATTATTTCATGTTGGAATTAAAAACAAACCCTCTAAAAATGTATTATAGCTGGAGTACCAGAGGAATGTCAGAGCAATTCTTTGAATTTAACACTATATTAACATTTTAATGATGCTGTTGCAATAAAACGGGCTGCTGTGCAGATTACAAGGTCAAAGCAGAAAAATGTGTCCCAAATAGCGCTCTGCTAATTAAAGTCCGGAGAAAATAAATCACTTATTGTTTTATACAGCACATCCACTGACTGTGATGTGATACAGTTGTGGGAATCCAGCTGAAGTAAATCATATTATATATTATACAAAAGATGTTGAAACATGAATGTTTTGGAAGCAACACAACGGAAGATTTTTATTCCCATCGAAGCATTGCTCATGTTACATTGACCTAACCAAAGAGAGAAAGTGAAGTCTAACTTACAACTACAGCACTGAAGGAAACTGCAAAAGAGAGCTTTTGTTTACATCACGGAGAAGAAGATGCCTCTGAAGAAAGGCCTCTGGAGGCCGCAGATTATTTAACACCAGACTTACAAAGTGTTTACTGCAGCAGCAGTAGTAATGAAATAAGAGATTGTTGGCGTAAAAATACAAAGCAATTATTAATAGAAACATAATTAGTCGGTGCAGCCTCATGCATAAAAGCATAACACTAACACCTTTAATGGAGGGAGACAGATGAGGCCAGAAGTGAAGGGAGGAACCCTGCAGCTAGAACATCAGCAGAAGAGCATTAAGATTCCTCCGTATGAAAATCCCTTCCTTTGGTGTGCACACACACACAAAGTTTGCAGCCATAAAGCCACTTAAAAGCCTCAAGACATTGAATCAAAACTCAAGCTGTGAATGTGTGTGTTTGTTTTCAGCGGTGACAAGGACACTTTGAAAGATTATGCAGACCCCTTGAAGGTGCTGGAAGGAATTGTTGCAGCAGTGCACACTAATGTACAGAGCGGGTAGGTATATCCTTTGTTGCAATGTTCTCGTTTACTATTATTGAGACATAGTGTTGTCCCTTTGTCCTTAGGAAGGGATGAGTTATAGTTGTATTACAGTCATATGAAGTCACTGTATGGTTTAATGTAAAAAAGTTAAGAATATAGTATATATTTCTGCAATTAAATGGGATTGTTTGGCACAACGTAAAGCAGAAGCAGTAATAGCATGATTAAAAGAAACCAGTGTTAATAGTATTGACTAAAGTAAGCAATTATTTTGAAATGCGAAAATAGTTTGTTAGCCAAACTAACATAAAATTAAATTGATGTACGATCACATGTCCTTATATCGCCTTTTTATTGTTGCTTCAAACGAGGCTTATCCAATCACATTTTTAGAGCCAAATTTGATCATTTTAAACAATGTGAAACAAAGTAACATTATGAAATGAAAATAAACAAGATAAATTTAAGATTTAAATATTTAAGATTGAATATATAAGCACTATTTCTGAGTCAATAATGAAATGTATGCCCATTTTTGACAATTATTGTTAAATTTTGTAAACGACCAATCTACTTAATTTGTAATTACTTGTTTGTTACTTGCTTATAAAAACACAAGCCCTTGCTCCAGTCTTCAGTGTCACATGATCCTTCAGAAATTATTTTAATATGCTGATTTGGTGCTCAAGAAACATTTCTTATTATCATCAGTGTTGAAATCCATTGTGCCGCTTAATATTTTTTAAATAATTGTGATACATTTGTTTTCCATGATTCATGATCAAAAGAACAGCATTTATATCTTTTGTAACTTTAGAATTATCTTTACTAAAAAAATCTTATCCCAGACTTACTTAAATTGTCTGACACTACTTAAATTGTGTATTTACGATCTGTAATGTGTGTGTGTGTGTGTGTGTGTGTGTGTGTGTGTATAAGGACCCGCTTCAGATCAAATGGTTTCCTGTTCTCCATTAATCTGGGCCCCAGTGACATCACAAAGTAGATGTAAAATACAATAATAACTGTCTGTGGGAGCGGCGAGGACATGAGCGGCCAGTCTTTTGTCCTGGGGTCTGAAATCACATCATAAGAATATCTGCACTAGCAACTGCATTAGTTTGTCCATTAATCTATGTTTGACACTGCTGTTGTTGTGCACTATAATTCGCCGAGATAAAAAAATTATTGTTTTAAAGCAGAGAAAATGAATGTGATTTTTACTTCCGAAACCTGACTGATGCACTCTTTACGAGTTGTTGAGGCTTAAATGTGTGTGGTCATACATTCATATTTTGATTTTCTGATGTCAGAAACCTTCTTACCTGCATCTTTGATCCACTTGTCATACAGCTGTGCAGCTGTGGATGTGAACTCACGGAACGCCATCACTGCCAATGGTCAGAGCCTAAGGTCACAAACACAAAGTGTAGGTGTGATATAACCCTCAAGAGATGATTTATTTTACCATCTACAAAATCTAGTAAAAAAAATGTTTTACATTTAGTGCACTTAAAAGAAACTCATCCCACAAGTTAAGTCTGACACATATTAAGTCACATTAAATACATTAATTAGAAGTAAAATACATTAATTTACATTTAATGTAAAATACATTTAATTAGTTAAATACATTAACTTAAATGTCACATTATTCAGACTGAATTTATAATTGAACAATCTTGAATTACACCTTCACAGTACTGCTCCCTTCTTGACAGTATGACATGATGTGATGTAGAACCTAAATGCTCTAAAATGAAGCAGGAAAGGTCCGTGTACGGTGGCGCCATGAAAGGTTGTATTGTGGTAAGAAAACACAAGAATCCTCCATCCTCTCCAGCAAACTCAGAGCTGAACAAGAGGGCGAGTGTTGGGACACAATGGTCAGCAGTCAGTGTATGTTCAGGACAGGACAGCACATAAAACCAGGGGGGTGGATAAACGAAGATATGCAGAGCACAGAGAACAATGTACAGTAATATACCAGAAAACAGCTGAACTCAGAGATGCATACAATGGAAACACTCAGTTGAACTCGACATGATACCACTACCAGAAAAGTGCATTTCAAATTGAATTATTCTATAATGAACATACATGTCTGTGCCTGTGTATTAGGGGCACAAAAACTAATTTTATTCATTTAGGAGAAATGAGTGCTGAAATTGCAAAAAATTACTTTGATGCTTCCCAGATCTGGATCAATTGATAGCATTTATGGAGATAAGAATATAATTTCCAGCACATGAAAAACTCATTATATAACACATATCTATTATCTTCTCTTTGTGAATAAATATGACTTTAAATGAAAAATATATATATTATATATTATATATTATTCTGATTTCATTTAATGTTAATATTCATTTATTTCAGTGGGAATATGGTAACATCTGAGGACATGCTGGCATGGTTACGACCTTTTTGTGGGGACGATTCTAAACCTGTACGACCCCGACTTGAGGTCCTGCAGATCCTAGAACATTCATTCAGCCTCAGCGATCAAGACATCCACCTACTGGTGTTCTTCAGGAGCCAAGCAGTTCTGAAAGCCTGCTGGCCAAACAG